ACCAATAACTTGAATTTCAAATTTTGCTACAACTTAGCCATTTTGCCACAACATGCCTCATATGTTCCTTGACAACATAAATTTGTCAAATAGGTGAAACCGAAGATAAAAATAAGCCATAAATATCCATTCAGTTGTTGACATTCCGCAGCTGTTATTCTTTATTTTTTCTTCTTTTCTTTTTTTTAATTTAACCTATATTTTGCATTTGTAAGGTGCTACAGAAATTTAAATTACTTCTGAAATTTAACCCTAGTTACGGAAATAAATTTTACCACTTGAGTTATGATGATAAAATTATTGTCATTGCATCTGTTTTTTATAACAGAGGAGAAGATCTCAGAATCGGTACATTGGTGGGAGAAGATCAGTTTGGTAATAAATATTATGAAAGTGACAGATATTTTATAGGTAAGTAAAGAAATGATCAATTATTCACAAATGGATAGGTCTATATTTTGGAGACAACAGGATTCAAAACTGACCCTTCAATTATAGGACAATTTATAATCAACATAGTTTAATAATAATAACTTTACACACATTATAGTCATTATAATAATATGAATACGTTGACATGTCATTGAGATTAATTCTAGTTATGATGTTGTTGCACAACCATTCTCAGTAGGTTGTACATTGATGCATATTGTGAATACTTTGAAAATAAAGATTTAATGTTAATGAAAATAACCAAAACCAAGACTATAAATTTAATATGAAACTGAATCTGAGTTCAATAAAAGATAAGACTTGTATTGTAATTTATGAACTTGAACATGACAATATATGAAGTTTGTTCTGTAACTTTTCTTTTTAATAAGGACGTCATCGTTGGGTGTCATATACAAGAAACAGGTTCTGGGATTATGACAGTTCACAGATACCTCCCGAATGGTAAGATAATCTGTGTGTGTGTGTGATTAATATTGAGTTACCCTATCAATTTCAGTTATTAAAAAAACCATGAATCATAATTTTAGAGCAATGGATTCTTTTGGTGCTAATTTTTTATAATGTTTTTATGTATTAGTATTTAGTCTTTCGTTTTTGTTTTCTTGTTTTATAAAAGTGTATATGGTACTAAAATAATGATGGTTTTTTTTATATATTAACTTTCTTTTTATCTGTTGAGAAAGCAGTTTAAAGATACAAGACAACATTTTATTAGTGATTCACAAAGAAATATATAACAATTTTAATGTATAAACATGTTGTAATTAAATATAAATTGTCTGTTGAGCTATTTAAATTAAAGAGTGAAATTTAATATTTGAATCGCTTAATTTATATTTTTACGTAGATTCCTAGAATATCAGCGTTTATCCATTGCCATGCTCAACAACGAAAATGAAGAATATTCAAAAGGAACGAACTATCCCAATCTCTAAATTCCTTTCCAACACTTGAGCAATTTAAATCCACAATTTAACCTAATTACAAGTAATCTCGGGGGCCCCTCCCCCTTATAAATTTTTCCAAATTGTAAATAAATATAGAAAAAAGGAAAATTATAATCAAATTTAGGTCTGAGAGTACCATTTGCAGCCATCTAGAGGTGCCACAATTATAAATTTTCTTGTGGTCTAATGGAATTCCCTCCCTGGGCCCCTACTGTATATTCCGAATTCCTGGATCTGCCACTGATTTGATATTGATATTGAAATTGAATAAAAGATAACTGAAATATAATACAATGGCTGGTAATCAGTTTCACTGTTTATGTAGAAAATGAATAATGAATTATATGAAATAAGATTTTCATGTTCTCTCGTCAATCGTCTTCTCAGGCACCGGTGGATACACTGCATGACAGACGACCCACCATCAAAGGTTCCACTTCAACCACCTAGATTTCGCATGGAACACACCGAGAATCTATCCGGATCCAGTAGAAGCTATGTACCCTACTCAACAACACCCAAGAAGATCCATGAATGGGTTCCTCCATCAAAATCATAATTAAGACTAATTAAATTTGATTAGTGTTCAGTGTATATAAAAATAGATATAAATTGGTAGATTTTCTCGTT